TGTTTACTCCTTTGGGCCCGGGATGGATCGGCTCCCGGCGGGAGCCCGGCTCGGGCGTAAAGGTCAGCGCCAGGCCAGGCCCGGCCGCCGTGGGTGGCGCCCGCACCCAGCTCGCAGGCGGCTCCCTCCTTCCGCAGTCCCTGCCCATCCCCTGTGGAACGATCGCCGGGCCGAGGTCTGCTGGAGCGCTCGCCGCCCAACCGCTCATCCTCCGGGCCGGCCGCGGGGAAAGCGCTGGGGGAAGCCCTGCCAACGCTTTCTGGATGTCCACGCCTCGGCCACCTTTACAGGCCACACCCCTTTCCTGCGCCGGCGGCGGCAGGGTACCTACCGGCAGTGGCCGCCTTCGGCTCCAGAAAGTTGCACGTTTCCCATGAAATTCCACTTGGGAGGGGGCGTTGTGTTTTTCTCTCCCCCCCGCACCTCAATATTTGAAACTCAGAGTGGTGAATGGCACCTTTAGGCCTAAAACGATTGATGACTTTTTTTTTTTTTTAATGCATGAGCAACTTTGGACTCAAAATTCACATTCAGTGGGGAAGTGGAAGAACTGTGCGTTTGCAGGCACTCGGGACCTCAGTGAGCTGGGAAATGTAGGGTGACACCTGTAACAGCAGCCACTGAAAACTTTTACGCAGACTCTGCTTGGTCCTGCTAGCATGGGGGGGACGGTTCTGGGGCCACATGCACAGGGGGGGGGGCAGTGGGAAGACCCTGGCAGTAGGGATGCAACCCAAAGGCTCAACCCTAGGATAACCCTAAACCACACTCAATGCAAAGGTGAGTGGATTCCAGCTCATTGCAACCCTATGGGACAGGATAAAACTGCCCCCCCACCCCCACCCCCTGGTTTTCCAAAATGGTAACTCTTTATGGGACTACAAGCCTCGCAGGAGAAAGTCACTACATAGGTTGTAAATAGGTTTTGATAGAGGGACAAGGGGAAACAATAGTGGTTCCAGAATATTTCTAGAGAAAATTGAAGGAAGGCCGTGTGGTCTCAGAGGGGCCCTGGTGGAGTAGTGTTTGTATGCTGGGCTGAAATCTGCAAGGCCAGCAGTTCAAAACCACTGGCCACTCCTCCTGAGAAAGAGCTATTCCAGGAAACAGTTACAGTCTGGGGGGTTGACTGGATGGCGATGAGTTTGGTGTTTTTGATTTGGTGTAATCTTTTAGGGGGGAGTCTCTTGAGGCTACCTGTGTGGAACAAGCAAAGCCAGTTGTTTCTGTTACACTTAAATTGTGTGTTGATGTGAGAGCCTCTGGGAGTGACCCCCTTTGAGTCCCTCTAGGGAGAGACCTAGTTGTCTAGCCTTTGCATCTGGGAAAGCAAAAAACCAACTGCATCCAGTCAGTGCTGACTCATAGTGACCCCCTGTGGATTGCAGAGACTGTAACTGTTTGCTAGAGTAGAAAGCCCAGTCTTTCTCCCATGGAGAGCTGGTGATTTTGAACTACCAACCATGTGGATTGCAGCCTGACGCATAACCACTCCACACCAGAGTTCCTTTTGGTACCTGGGAGGCCTGGGCTGAAACCAGCCGAGAAGGGAGCACAGTAGGTGTGGTGGGGAGAGGAGATCTGTTCTGTGGCCTTTTGCCTTGGTTCTTTGGGAAAACAATTTGAGCAAGCCGACTTCCAAATATTTGTGGGGAGGCAAAGGGCCTAGAGTGTCCAAAACAACTTTCAAAAAGGAGAACAGAGTTCAAGTACTTTACTCTGCATGGTCTCAAGACTTACTATTCAGCTCTGGTGGCGAAAGGGTTATGCCTTCAGCTGCTAACCCCAATGTCAGTAGCTCGAAACCACCTGCCGCTCTGAGGGAGAAAGACGAGGCTTATCTACTCCCGTAAAAAGTTACAGTCTCGGAAACCCACCTGGGCAGTTCTACCCTGTGCTGTCCTACAGAGTCACTGTGGGTCAGAACTGACTCAACAGTGAGTTAAAGTGTGTGTGTGTGTGTGTGTGTGTGATCAAAACAGTATGGTACTGATACAGGCAGACATGTCCATCAGTAGAGCAGATTACTCACCACCATAGACTCCATTCCAACCCATAGCAGCTTGATGGTGTCGTGGATTATGCATCGGGCTGCTAATGGCAAGGTCAGCAGTTCGAAACCACCAGGCAATATAAGGTAGAAAGATGAGGCTTTCTAAGAAGAAGTTTTCTGTCCCTATAAAGATTTATAGTCTCAGAAATCCACAGGGCTATTCTACTCTGTCCCATGGAGCTGCTATAAAGAGCAGATTAGAGTCAACAAACGGTTCTTGAACTAACTACAAGCTTTTCTTTCTTGTTGTTGTGTTTTGTTTTGTTTTTGTCATTGGCTCGTTGTTGTTTTTGTTTTGTTTTATTTTGTTGCTTGATTTTTCTGTCTTGTTTTTGTGCATGTTATTATTTCCGCAGGTCTTTCTAATAAGATAGGCTGGATGAACAAACTGGAGGAGAAAACGGAACTGACAGTTCCAGGGGACATGGGGAAGGGGGAGGCTTGGGGAAAGGTAGTGGTGTTAACAAACCCAGGGACAAGGGAACAACAAGTGATCCAAAATCGGTGGTGAGGAGGGTGTAGGAAGCCTGATAGGGTGTGATCAAGGGTAATGTAACCAAGAGGAATTACTGAAACCCAAATGAAG